CAGTCTCACCGCAGTGACCAGCGACGCCCAGAACCGCGGGGACGCTGGGCAGGGCGGTGACTGCTTTCCCGAAGGTCCGTCCCGTCGGATGGAGAACTCGTCCAACCGGGGCCCACCTGTGGGTGCGAGCAGCGGAGTGTCCGGCGGCGGCGGACTTGCTGGCCTTCCGTGTGTCTGCATAGGAGGAAGGGCGTGTCCTTGGACTGGAAAACTTGCCCGGAGATGCTCATGCCCGGGGTGTTGTTGTTTATTTAGAACTTTCAAAAGACGCCCTTAAAAATGAACTTCTGGCATTTTTGTTCTTTAAAAAAAATTTATATATATATTGGAGGCCTGATGCTCGAAATTCCCCTGGCTGATGGCCCCGGCTTCCCTCCAAGCCCCAGCTTCGTCCGGAAGGCCATCCGGTCTAATTAGCATATTATGCACACATATACATCTATATCTATATCTATCTATCTATCTATCTATCTATATATTGATTTCAGCGAGGAAGGGAGGGGGAGAGAGAGATGGAGAAAGAGAAACATCAGTGATGAGAGAATCGTTGATCGGCTGCCTCCCCTACTGGGGATTAAAGCTGCAACCGGGGCATGTGCCCTGACTGGCAAATCAGACCGTGGCCTCCTAGTTCCTAGGATGCTCATCAACCACTGAGCCCCGCCGGCCAGGCTGCCTCTTCCTCTTTGAACCGGCTGGAACGTCCTGTATATTGAGCATTTCCAGCCTGTAAGGCCATGGTTTTGTTTTTCATATTTGTTGATCGGGAGTCTTGTTCGGATTTTGACCGACTCGGCCTCGGTGGCTTGAAATCATTCTGTCCATATCCCGCTAGGCATCCCTGTTTGTAATATCTCCTCAACACGTATTACGAAAATGCTTCTCCATCTTTGACTTAGGTGCTAGGGTTTCCTTTCAGCCCCCTCCCTGCTCCCCAAACTGGGGGTACTTAAAAAAACCCCAACACTTTGCTGACATGCACTTTTTACATCTTTTAAGTCCCTTGGCATCTTTGACCTGATGTAAGGGTGATGTGTCTATTCCTTCTGGACTAAGGAACGAAGAATAGGGGTCTTGTCTTTGGAATCCGTAGCATTGGCATAAGGGAACGTAAATAACATGTGAGATAATGACCATCAGCTCTACGAGGGCATGGATTTGTCTGAGCTGCTTGGAAACAGTTCTGAGCTGAACGTCGCCATTTATTCTAACGTATTCTAATGTCCTGGAAGGTCCTCATGTCTTCGAAGCCTGTTTGTGGTCTGTGCAATCTAATTTTTTTTTTTTAATAACTTAACAGATACTTTTGGAAACCGATCGGCTGGACGTCAAAGGAGCATCCAGAGCAGAGCTTAGAGTCTTCAACGACATCCTTTTAAGAGTAACTCGCGGCCGCCATGTCAGTCTACACGGCACAGCGAGGGCACAGCAGCGGCCTCCCCGGCGCTCCTGCTTCCCAGAGGAGCTCATCACCAGACGGCCTCGGCCTGGGGAGCAGCCGGAAGCAGCTGTCCAGCTCGGACGTGTCCGAGCGTGAAAACGACGACCCGTTCCTGAGGTCCGCAAGGAAACTCAGAGACATAAACAGCACCTACGTGATCTCCGCCTGTAAGGCCCCTGGAGATACGCCCCTGACCCCTAACCCTGCGGGTAGACTGACCCTTCAGAGGAGAGTTACAAGAAACAAAGAATCATCGTTGCTTGGGAGTGAGGTGGGAGAGTCATCTGAAAGAAAGACAGAAACTCGTCTTAAGTTACAACGTTGCGTCCGAGCAGGTTCTGTGGACAGGCGGACACCAGCTGGAGCAGATTCCGTGGACAGGCAGAAAACAGCCAGAGCAGATTCTGTGGACAGGTGGACACCAGCTAGAGCAGATTCCGTACACAGGCAGGCAACAGCTGGAGCAGATTCCGTGGACAGACAGAAAACAGCCAGAGCAGATTCCGTGGACAGGCGGACACCAGCTGGAGCAGATTCCGTGGACAGGCGGACACCAGCTGGAGCGGATTCTGTGGACAGGTGGACAACAGCTAGAGCAGATTCCGTGGACAGGCGGACACCAGCTGGAGCAGATTCCGTGGACAGGTGGACAACAGCTGGAGCAGATTCCATGGACAGGCGGACACCAGCTGGAGCAGATTCCGTGGACAGGCGGACAACAGCTAGAGCAGATTCAACGACACAGAGCGTGGGAGGGGCTGCAGCAAGTGATGGTGCTTCACGGGACACCAGTAGGAAGGTAAGGATTGTCAGTAACGAGAAAAACTCCCCTGTTGCATCGTCTGCACCCTCAGCTGAAGATAGTGACACTGGACTGGTGGCCGATGAAAAAGACAGAGGAACATTTTCTGCCCTCAGGGGAGCAAACGACAGCGTGACACGTGAGTACTTCAGTCATAGCACGCCCATCCGTCCCCAGAAAGAGGCTGAGGAGGCTCGACCAGGACGCTTGGCCACGAAACCCTTTCAGAGCCCGTTGGACGTCAGAGCGTCGGGAACAGGAAGCTGGCACCACAGAAATCTTGGGGAGGATGTTGCGAAAAACAGAACTGAGTTTGAAAGCTTAGGGAAAGGGACGCCTGCGAAACGCACTGCAGGGCACACGTGGACCCCACGGCGCGGCACGCCTCAGCCTCAGAGCGCGGCGATGTCCACCCTGAGACCCAGGACGCCCAGCTCCCAAGGTCAACAGAAGCCCAAACGCTCTCTTTTCGCAAATAAAAGGGAAGGGTCATGCGAGCATACGCTTCCTCCCACGGAGGAGGCTGCGGCTCAGAGGGCCTCCACAGAGAGGGACCCCTTAAAAGCGGAGAACAGTCAGGTGACGGTGGCGGTCCGCGTGAGGCCCTTCAGCAAGAGGTAGGTCACACCTTTGAAACCGAAGGCGGGGCTGGTGCTCAGGCATCTCACACTTGTCAGTGACATTTTATTTTATTTTCAAGGGAATCCAAATTCTAACCACTGGAATTCAACCTGTTTTCCTCTGAGTGTCTGTACCTCTAACTTCTTGAATTTATTTTATTTATTTATTTTATTTATTTTATTTTACTTTATTTTATTTTATTTTAGTGACGTTTTTATAGAGAAAACTTGGGTTGAGTTGTAGTGCGTCCATAATTTTAGGGGATTGGCCGTGCCCCGGGGATGGGCCGGGTGGTTTCCAGGATAAATTCTGATCTGAAGCAGAGTTTGGGGGCAAAAAGGGATATCGAGGGCCAGACCAGGACCCAGTGCCTCCTGCAGACCTGGAGCCAGTGAGAGATTCCCACCAGGTCCGAGGTGGACGGAGGGTGGACGGGAAGGTCCGAGGCTCCGGGGGAGGTGCCTGGGGGCAGGAGGGACCTGCGGGGCAGGGGGAGCCAGGGACGTTCAGCTGGGTTTGTTGGGGTTATATGTGTGCACCTTGCCCGCTTTCTATAGACTTGTGCCTCCGAAGTTTCCTTATAAAACATGAGAAGTAAGTTTCCAGATCTGAGCTGAAGCGGACAGGTAGACCACAGCAAGCGGGGAAAAAGGGAGAGATCCAGAGGCAAAGGGGAAAGATGGAAAATGCTGTAAAAGGGGGGTCCACGTTCCGGGCCAGAAACCGGAACTCCATCTTCCCCGGAGTGGAGGCAGGAGCCCCGGGAACTGTGTTCCGGAAACATTATAATCATGCCTGCTGCTCTGCGTTTTCTTTCTTTTTTTCTTTCTTTTTTTTTTTTTTAATGTTTTTATTGCTTTCAGAGACAGGAAGGGAGAGGGAGAGAGACAGAAACATCAGTGATAAGAGAGAAACATCCGTGATGAGAGAGAATCACTGATCGGCTGCCTCCTGCACGCCCCACACTGGGGATGGAGCCCACAACCCGGGCATGTGCCCTGACCGGGAATCGAACCCTGACCTCCTGGTTCTCAGGTCGACGTTCAACCCCTGAGCCACGCCGGCCAGGCTGCTATTTTCCACATAAAATTGAAACCTCATCCCGCCCGGAGGAGTGTTACGTTCACCTAGCTTTGAGGTCTTCATCCTCAGAATAACGGCGGTAACTTGACCTTCTTCTTTGCGCTCCTTCTCGAAGAGAGAAGGACGAGGACGCGGCCCAGGTGGTCTTCCTGGACGGGGAGGAGATCGCTGTGCGGCACCCGGACCTGAGACAGGCGTACAGCTTCCTCTACGACGTCTCCTTCTGGTCCTTCGAGGAGTGCCACCCGCGCTACGCCAGCCAGGCCGCCGTGTACCAGACGCTGGCGGCCCCGCTCCTGGCCCGCGCCTTGGAGGGCTACAACGCCTGCCTCTTCGCTTACGGGCAGACGGGCTCCGGGAAGTCGTACACGTGAGTGTGGCTGCAGACGTGGCTCTGGGCGGGTGTGTGTGTGTCTGTCGTGAGAAGCGGCCTGGCTTGATTGACGGCACACAGTTCTTTTTTTTTTTTATTTTTTATTGATTTTTTACAGAGAGGAAGGGAGAGGGATAGAGAGTTAGAAACATCGATGAGAGAGAAACATCGATCAGCTGCCTCCTGCACGCTCCCCACTGGGGATGTGCCCGCAACCAAGGCACATGCCCCCGACCAGAATCGAACCTGGGACCCTTGAGTCCGCAGGCCGACGCTCTATCCACTGAGCCACACCGGCTAGGGCGATGGCACACAGTTCTGAGACCACAGGGATCGGGCTCAGGTCGGCTCGGTGTACACGCTAGGCCCGCACCCTTGGTCCAGCTGCCTGACCTCTCCGCTCCAGTTTGTGCCCAGGAGTCATTGACCTTTGCGAGAGTCATTGGCCCCGTTTTACTGTAAAGCGAGCATGTCAAACGCAAAGGCTAACGCAGGCCAGATAAACAAGGTTGAAGTGTCTGTGGGCCGAAAAAAAACAAAAGCTTCCGTTTTCATAGAAACGTGGGTTTATTTTGATAGAGACACGCTGAATACAAAGGGCTGAAATAAACGAGTCGTCATTAACATAAAATAATAGAACATTTTAACAAAAATTAATATTTTTGCTTGAACATTAATTTACCAGACACTGAATAACTGCACAAATGAATAAGCGTCACGCAAATAAATGTTTTTCTTGTTCTCTGAAAGCGAACTATTTTCTGTTGCGCACACCACACAAGTCAATCCAAGCCTCTCAGCTTCTGGGGCCTCCTGGCCGCCTCCCTTCAACCCTCACGTGGCCCCTCCAGCGTGTTCACCCGGCTTCACCCCCTTATTCCCGTGCCCACTTGGGGTGATCACGTGGCCCCGCCCCCGACAGAGTTTTAAAGACCTGCTTGTTGTTACTTCCCCTCTTCACGTAGGATGATGGGATTTGGTGAAGAACCAGGAATCATCCCAAGATTCTGCGAAGACCTATTTGCTCAAGTGGCCAAACACCAAACCCAGGAGGTAGGTGCCGGTGGCTGCAGGTCTTCGTGTTGGGCTAGAAGACAGCCAAAGCGGGTGCACATCGGAGGGAGTCGGGGCCACCGAGGAAGCCCCCAGGGGGAGACGGGCCCTAACTTCCCTCAGCGCCGGGGTGGGCGAGGGCCCAGGGGTGGGCGAGGGCGGGGCTCCATCCTGGAGTTGGTTCTTCCTGGTGGAAGCGGAGGAGGAGGGGGGAGGAGGCTAGAGGAGGCGCGTCTGCTGTGTCCCACGGAGGGAGCTGGCACTGCTGTGTGTGTCTCTGCACTCAGCCGGCGGCGCACCGACCCCGCAGGACACAGGCCCGAGCTTAGGGCGTGAAGCTGCTGATGTGCGAGCTTGGAGTTCAACTCCCAGGCTCTGTGGGTCAGAGAGCGGAAGGGAGAAACGCACCATTAAGTGCTAATACATGAAACTGTAACCCAGAATGAGGAGGGGCTGCCTGAGAACCGTAGGGGGGGGAGGTCTTCTCAGGGGGACAGCTGGGCTGGTGAAGGACACGGTCATTACTGGTGGGGAGTGGGCGGGGAACCCAGGCAGCAAGGTGCGGGGATTGGAAAGCGAGGACGCGGGAGCAATGGGGTCTGTAGACTGTTTGCTCTGCTTGGAGCCGGAGCTGGAGGGTGGAAGGTGGAGGGTGACAGGAGTCCCCTGTCAGATGCACAGGTTGCAGACCGCACGAGGGCGTTAGGCGGTAAGTTGCGGAAGGGAGAAACGCACCATTAAGTGCTAATACATGAAACTGTAACCCAGAATGAGGAGGGGCTGCCTGAGAACCGTAGGGGGGGGAGGTCTTCTCAGGGGGACAGCTGGGCTGGTGAAGGACATGGTCATTACTGGTGGGGAAGGGGCGGGGCACCCAGGCGGAGGGCAGCAGGTGTGGAGATTGGAAAGCGAGGACACGGAAGCAATGGGGTCTGTAGACTGTTTGCTCTGCTTGGAGCCGGAGCTGGAGGGTGGAGGGTGGAGGGTGACAGGAGGCCCCTGTCAGATGCACAGGTTGCAGACCACGCGAGGGCGTTAGGAGGTAAGTTGCAGGCTAAGCTTCTCTCCTACCAGGTCAGGTATCACCTGGAAGTGAGCTTCTTTGAAGTTTATAACGAAAAAATCCACGACCTGCTGGTGGGCAGAGGCGACGGCAGGCAGGGGAAGCAGGCGGTGAGTGATAGCGTCTGTCCCTCGTTCCCAGTGTCTGTGTTTACGAATGCCTGTGCTCCCACGAGTCCCCCAGGTGACGCGTAGGGCTTACATGCTTACCGAACGCTGTTGTATGATAGCAGGTGCGTGGGAGCTGCAGTTGAACTGTGTTGTTATTTAGTAAATAAGCTGAGCGTTATCGCCAGTGGAAATTAAATGAGTTATTAAATTGAACCTCTTTATTTTAAGCAAGTATCGTGTAAAAGATACTTGTTCCAGGATATAGTTGGACCACTTAAACGCTCAATCCCGAGAAGTCTCTAAAGCTAAAAGGCAGTAGAAGCTCACAAAAATGGTATTGTTATAGCCCTGTTCTTCACTGGATTATTTGGCAAACTGATATCCTATGGATAATATTTCCTGTGAAGTAGGACATTTCACAAATACGTAAGCTTTTAAGAAAATGCTGTTAGAATTTAAAGTTTTTAATTTTTTTATTATTTATTAGAATATATTTTTATTGATTTCAGAGAGGAAGGGCGTGGCGGGGGAGAGAGAGAGAGAGAGAGAGAGAGAGACACATCAATGATGAGAGAGATTCATCGATTGGTTGCCTCCTGCACACCCCTTACTGGGGATCGAACCATGACCTCTGGGTTCATAGGTCGACACTCAACCACTGAGCCACAGCAGCCGGGCTTGAGTGGTTTTAGTGGTTTTAGTGCCTCACAGGTAGTTTCCGTGGGAACCTTGATGTTTATTCCTGGGTCAAGTGAAAGCAGATGTCTTGACCTTAAACTCAGAGTGTGGGGAAAAGCCACTGAGAACTGCCTATGCACGGACCCCCTGCCGTGCGCTGACCACCGCTCCCGCTTGCTCCACAGCTGAGGGTCCGAGAGCACCCCGTCTCCGGGCCGTATGTCGAAGCTCTGGCCGTGTAAGTCCCGTGTCCGCTGCGTGTTCTCCTGTGTGTCTACCTTTCCCAGCACCCGTGGGGCCTGGCGCAGACCATGAATTACACCGAGTACGAAATACTTGGTGTTCTCCCTCTGTCCCCTCTCCGCTGCGGTTTGTATCTGCTCCTTAAGCCGCCGGGGGAGGAGGTCTAAGATGAGTTCATGGTAAGAGTTTCGGTTTTTTAAAATATTTTGCATTGGTTTCAGAGAGGAAGGAAGAGAGAGAGAGCGAGAGAGAAAAAAAGAGAGAGAGAGAGAGAGAAACATCAACGATGAGAGAGGATCACGGATCGGCCGCCTCCTGCACGCCCCACACTGGGGATGGAGCCCACACCCCAGGCACGTGCCCCTGACCGGAATGGAACTGTGACCTCCTGGTTAGTTGACACTCAACCACTGAGCCACACCAGCTGGGCCAATTTCAAATTTCAAAAATTATATAAGCCAAAGGAAGAAGAAAAACCCTTTCATTAACACTCAGTTTAATAGTCGGCATACATTTTCCTGGTCTTCAGTTTTTATTTTAAAAATCATATTTTTTCTTCTTTCTATCATCGTTATAACCACCTCTTGGACCTTTAAAACTCTATAATCTGTTTTATGTAAGACACGGACATAAGAAAGTTCCTCAAAGCCCCGCTCTGACCAGCAGTCCCTTGCCCACAGCCCGGGCTCCGGCCCCCACCCCTTCAAACTCTGTTCCTTTGAAATCCACTCTATTTTCATAAACAGTAAGTGTATTTGGCTATTTCCTGACTGTTTCCTGCTGCAGGATTGAGCTCTTTGGGACACACACAGACGCAGACAAACACACCCACACGCCATCCCCAACCCCGATCTTTTAAAAACTGCAGCACGAGGTTGAAATTCACGATTTAGTGATCCACGTACCAACGACCGGGGCACGGGTTCATGCACATTGAAAGGAAATTAATTAGAAGGTGGCCGGCGGGGTGGGACCGGGCCCGATGGGCTTGACACGCCCATGGCCCCTCCCCAGCCGGCCGCACCTGGGGTGGTGCCGTGGCTCGAAGGGTGTCTGCGGAGTGAGGGGTCCGGAGTGCGAGAGGCACTCTGCAAAGTTGCTGTCGTACAGGGTGTGGAACACAAACGCACGTATGCAGTTAACCAGATTCAGGGCCGACAGAGCCCCAGCAGCAACATAACCCACGGCCGAAGGTGGAATCGCACGGCCCCGAGAGGAGTCAGGCTCCCTCCTCTCTGGTTTCAGGGTGCGTCACCCGAGAACCGCCGCTGCCTAGTCACTGCAGCTCGGCAGCTCCTGCATTGAGCGTCTGCCCCCTGGTGGTCAGTGTGCATCATAGCGACCGGTCCGACGGGTGGTGGAACACTTAGCATATTAGCCTTTTATATATAGAGATTGTTGCAACAGATATTATCATTATGTAAACAAGCTGTCTTCATGCATAATGTGTCTGTTGCCTACATTTTCTTCCTAAATTGCTCTTTTGTTTGTCAGAAACATTGATGAGAGAGAAACATCGATCGCTGCCTCCTGCACATCTCCCACTGGGGATGTGCCCGCAACCCAGGTACATGCCCTTGACCGGAATCGAACCTGGGACCTTCCAGTCCGCAGGCCGACGCTCTATCCACTGAGCCAAACCGGTTTCGGCAACAAAGACTTTTTAAAAAAAAGTTATTATTTCCCGACTCAGATATCGGGGGTAGACACAACCAGACAGTGGGCATACAGATGACTGCACGGTAGACATTGATGAGTGGCTTCAGTCACGGGAGGTGCGGGTGACCTCGCCCCCGGGGCCCTGCCCACAGCCCGGCCTCTCCTCTCCCCCGCAGGGCTGGCTGCAGCTGGGGAGCAAGCAGCGGGCCACGGCAGCCACCGGCATGAACGACAAGAGCTCCCGCTCGCACTCGGTGCTCACGCTGCTGCTGACCCGCACCCAGGTGGGACCCGTCGCGCCTCACGCGCCTCCTACCTTTCCTTTCAGTCAAAGGTAAAAGGACATCCGTGGACAGGCCTGACAGTGTTGGGTTTGAGGAAATAGACTCGGCGACTGGATCAGGTTTGGTGCAGATGGCTATACGTTTTTCTCACCGTTTTAAAAACCGATAATATCTATTATTCATTTACCGTGATATCGTGGGCGTTCTATCAACGTGTGATCTGTTCTCAGTAACGCGTGGGGATTACCGGACGGTATTTGGAAAATCCCATCAGAAAGTAAAAGATTTCTTATAACTCAGCTATCGGGCCCGTGGCTCCAATAAAACCGCTCTAAACATTTCGGTGAACATGTTTCAATGGTGTGACCGTTCCGCTTGAACGAGTTTACAAGCTCTGCAGCAAGTTCATGCGACTACCACGCTTTGTGAAATATTTGTCATGGCTGCCTGACGTTCCCTTGACTTCACTTCTCCAGTCTTTACCGCTGGGCGTTTGTGTTGCTTTTAGTCCAAGAGCTGTTGTTTGTTTGTTTTTCCATGAGAGAGAGAGAGAGAGAGAGAGAGAGAGAGAGACAAACTTGTTGTTCCCCCTCCTGATGCATTCGTTCATTGGTTGATTCTTGTTTGTGCTCCGACCGGGGATGGAACCCGCAGCCTTGGTGTCTGGGGACGAGGCTCTAACGGCCCGAGCTGCCCGGCCAGGGCTCCTGCTGCTGCTTTTAAGCCCGTTGCCACTTCCCTGCTGGGATGAACGGCACCTGCACAGGTTGTCAAGCTGCTCACCTGCTTATGGTTGTTTCCTTAGCGGCTGTCTGTCCCTTTCAAGTCGCTTCTTTCCTTTTGGCACCGTCCGCGCACCGCTCAGCGCGTTCGCAGCTGAGTGACCCACCATCGCAGGTCCAAGGAGGGTCGCTCGGCTTCAGGAACAGGCGGGCGCCCGGGTCCTCACAGCTCCCCTCCCGCAGGCTCCCCTCGGGGCGAGGCCCAGGGGACTGAGACGCGTCATGTGAACCCCCTTTTGCCACAGACGGAGCTGGTGGACGGGGAGGAGCACGACCACACGGTGACCAGCCGCATCAGCCTGGTGGACCTGGC